TCAGTTTCAGCAGCGGCTGAATCTGGACGCCAGTTCCGACTTACATACAGATTCAACTTACGAACAAACCTACAGTCCCTATCTTGTACGTAACCCGGGGACTGCCTGTATGTACCAGTTCCGACTTACATACAAATTCAACTTAAGAACAAACCTACAGTCCCTATCTTGTACATAACCCGGGGACTGCCTGTAATTACTGATGAGTCCTGAACAAATGTGTTTATAAAGAAGTACTGACAGACACTTCATTCTAGTTAGGATAGAATGTGTGGTGGTGTAGACTGGTTGATTTCATGTTATTAAAGAAACAAAGTAGGAGAGGTAATATCTTTTTCTGGAGCAGCCTGAAGAAAAGTTCAGTGTAGCTCAAGAGCTCATCTCCTTCACCGACAGATGTTGATCCTATAAAGATATTACCTCATCCACCTTGTCTCTTTAACTTTGCTCTGCTGATTGCAGGGAGTAATATAGGGCTATAACGAACATATGGAATAGAATTCCTATTGAATTACAGGGCTGTTGAAGAAGTTGAATGTGCTTGTGTAACGTGGGAAGATAAAAGAAGTTGGCGTGATGGATTAAGCAGTGTTCTCCATTTGTCAGGGTTCCTTAAATTCATAAATTTTTAATATCAAGGTGAAGCTACACATTCTTGGTTTTTCATTTGCAGTATCATTATGTAACTATTAATGTATAATATGTAACTATTAATGATCCTACATATAAACATGTAATTTTTATGCACTTTACTTGTCGTACATATCATTCACCTAGTGTAATGAAATCCCCAGCATACTGACAAAAAATTTGATTTAGACAAAGTGACTGACTTCTCTGTGAAGCAAAGTTTTCCTGGTAGGAGCAGGAAAGATGAGTGAATTACAGGAAGTACATCTATTTCAACGCCCAGCCCATCCATTTTGAAATTAATAAAAAAACTCCCACTGATTTCAGTTGGAGTCAGATTGAACCTTTCAGCAGAAATTTGCTAAATAGAACCTTGTTTTACTTGTACAGTTTTATTTAATACTGAAAGAAAATCTTTGTAGTGTCTGAAATTTTCTATAACAACATTTCACAAATGATCCCGATTAACCTGTTTTACAAAGTTAGTTAAATGGACAATTCAGTTTTGTCTTAGATAAAAGAGACAGTTTTATCTTACAGCATATGATTATTTTGTTTATTATAGTAGATTTTTTTTTTTTTTAGTTAACTGGATCTAGTTCATTGGTAGAAACCCATACAACTTTAAGAAAGTGAAATTAATATGTTGACGTACACACCTAATAGCAATACATTTGGCAAGTTCACAAATTTTGCTTATGTCAGGTAGACAGGTGGTTATTTGCTGAGGTGGCAGCAGTCTTTTGAAGTGAAACTAAGCTTCCTGCTTTAATAGATGGGCTGGAGCTTGATCTACCTTCAATAATTTTGATGCTCACAGGGTTAAATAAAGTATTTAGAAAGTGCGGATGAACAGAACCTTACAAGTATTACAAGTACTGTTTATATTTTTTATCTGTGAGCAATTTCTGCTCTTGACTGATAGTTTGGAGCTCAATCTCATTTGTCAACTGCTGTGATTGTATCTTGCTCTCAGGCTTGCCTGGAGCTATTGAGGAAGTGTATTTTGTTGACCTACTTGAAGGTCTAACTCCCAGGATCTTGGCTAACCCAACTACGCAGTTGAGTCAATATAGCATTGTTGTCTTCAAGTCGTCATTGTCAAGTCCAAGTCGAGTCTCAAGTCACTACAGTTCAAATCTCAAGTCGAGTCTCGAGTCCCTAAAGTCACTTTCGAGTCAAGTCCCAAGTCGAGTCTCAAGTCTTAATTTAAAAAATGTCAAGTCACTTTTGTACAAGCCATCAATATTGGTATTTTTGGACAATTTTTTTCACCAAGTCGATTTTAACAAAATTAGCAAGTCACAAACAAGTCGAGTCTCAAGTCACAAACAATGAACCTGAGTTGAGTCTCAAGTTGAGTCACCTAGGCAACTTATGTCGGACTTGAGTTCAAGTCGTGGGACTTGAGTCAACAACTCTGCAATATAGTAGTCAGTTTTAATGAATTTGCATTTTGTGAGAGGCATGTTCAGCCACTTTATTCTTAAATTTACAGGGAAATTTCAAAACATACTCAGCATTTAGAAGACGGTACAAAAATTAAATATATTTAAACAGATATTTTAGTGATTGTAATACATTTTATTTAGATGGCAGTATCTGGATAAGGAATGTAATAAGAAATATGTTTACTAAGCTTTATGAAGTAATTAAAAGTTACCATTTTTTCCCTAATGTTTGCTGATAACTTTAAGCCTAACACTTCTATATCTGTGCAGGCAGGTTGAGTTACTGGAAGATGTTCGGTGACTTCAGTGATCCTAGTCAACATATTGTACGTTACTACTGAGGTAGCAATAGTGTTGTCTACGTGTCCCACAGGATGATGATGCTGTGACATCTTCTACTATTACTGTTTCCTTTTTATTTGTGGATTAAAGTCTGTCAGTCTCTTTTCCTTCTCTCCAATTTACGTTTTCTAAAGTTAGAGCTGCTAGCTGTGTATTGGTTTGTGGAACCACAAGCACATTATATCACTCCACTTCTGTCCTTAGTTATTCTGTGCTGAGATGAGGCTATTTCTCTGAGACAAATATTTTTGTGCAATCGAATAATGGACCATTTAATAAGAACTGATTAGACATGGCAGAGGAAAAGGCTTATTCAAGCCCTAATTCTGCAGATAGGTACTAAATGAGTGTTGTTGCACAAAATGGAAAGAGTTTGTATTTGACCTATTTTGCAAAGGTGTACTTCTGAAAGTAGAATTTAGGTCAGAAATTTGGACTTGGATAACAGTAGATTCCTGAAACAGAACAGACTCTAACTTCCATTTTCATTGAGGTATTGGGATCTGAAGTGTTAGCAGGAACAAAATG